CAACAGTGTCCCACTAGAGTGTCTCACAAGAGTGTCCCTTAAGAGTGTCCTACAGGAGTATCCCACAAGAGTGTCCTACAAGAGTGTCCCACAAGAGTGTCCCACAAGAGTGTCCCACAAGAGTGTCCCACAAGAGTGTCCCACAAGAGTGTCCCACAAGAGTGTTCCACAAGAGTGTCCTATAAGAGTGTCCCACAAGAGTGTCCCACAAGAGTGTCCTACAAGAGTGTCCTACAAGAGTGTCCCACAAGAGTGTCCCACAAGAGTGTCCCACAAGAGTGTCCAAAAAGAGTGTCCCACAAGAGTGTCCCACAAGAGTTTCCGACAAGAGTGTCCCACAAGAGTGTCCTACAAGACTGTCCCACAACAGTGTCCCACTAGAGTGTTTCACAAGAGTTTCCTACAAGAGTGACCCACAAGAGTGTCCTTCCCAGAAGAGTGTCCCACAAGAGTGTCCTACAAGAGTGTCATTTGGATGTATTAGTTTTTCGAACGTGTTTGCATTCGGGTTCGTGGGCTCCATCTTGTTTCTAGCTTCCAAAGTTTCCAACAAACGTTTTTTCACAATTTACTGCAATTTATGGCATTGTTGACACGTGTTTCCCGGAAAGCAGCACTGCAGCTACCCTCATCCATGCCTCCAAAATCTGCAAATTAGGGGCTCCCCTCCACACCTCCCCCATACCTTCAGTATTACATTCAAAGCACTTTCCGTCATCAAGCGACTATGTTTAGCAATCATTTGGCCTGCAGCAAAATAAGTTCAGGCGCCCTGTACCAACCTCGCCAAAGTGGAAGATTCTGAATTCTTTTTGACGATCTCACTCGGCACGTGTCTTGTACAGCGGTACTGAGGCGTTGGCGAGTCACCACATGTCTTGTCATGGTTCGCTTGGCCTTGGCGGTGTGTGGCACCACGGGCCCACTCACCTGTCACGCAAAGCGCCAAATAAAATGACAAATGGTCCGAATAAGGATGTGTGCTGTGATTTGTTTGAATTCTTGTTAAACGCAGGCCAAATTGAATTACTTTTAGCAATGTTTATCAAGAGAATAGTAGTAGGCGGTAGTGCCGAAGGCGCCGAGGTTTAAAAATAGAATTAAAATATAACCTAACTATTACAGTGGCCTCAAACCTAATCAAAGGAAGTTTAGCGTACGAAACTTCCATGTTACGGACATTCAAGAACTGTTCATACACCACTCATCAATACACCACTCATCAATACACCACTCAACATACACCACTCATCATACACCACTTATCATACACCACTCATCATACACCACTCATCAATACACCACTCATCAATACACCACTCATCATACACCACTCATCATACACCACTCATCAGACACCACTCATCAGACACCACTCATCAT